TTAATACCGTCACGAGCCCAGATATTATCACTACATCTTCCCAAATGACCCGAAGACAATGATAAAAGGTGATGTAGATTACCAAATAAGCCTGTTACGTGCAAATAAACACGAGGTAGATTGGTTAGGATCGAAATGAAGCGGTTAGAAAGATATTTGATAGCATTTGAAAGAATTTACAGAAAGAAACGGTTTACATAATAACCATTAACGATAGCCCATTTGTTAGGATATTCCAGGTAGGGGTGACGTAATCAAAACGCATCGATTGAAAAAAGTCAGTCATAAGAAAGATGCATAATATTACGAAGCATTGCAACAGCCTACCGACAATAGTGAAGATTTGGCAACTTGCACATAAACGCACAGACACACATATACACACACACACATATACACACACACATATATATATATATATATATATATATATATATATATAAGTAAACATTGAAGTCAACACTCAGAGGCAAGAGGCTATTTCATGCGAGACGCAATCTTCAGGCCGCGAATGCTGGATTTTTCCTCGCCGATTTATATATATGGGTCAGTGATGCATTGTGGGTAATCTATTCTGGCGGTTATTTTTGCGGGAGTTGTTTGTTTATTTATTTATTTGTTTGGGTTAGTTTATTTTACATGTTTTTCATCTTCATTTTGTATAATATATTCTTTTCGTTTTTTAATGTTTTACTAAACATTCGCGGCCTGACGATTGCGTCCAGCATGAAACAGCCGGTCGCCTCTGAGTGTTGACTTTAGTGTTTATATTTATATTTACATACGCTCTATCTCTGATATTTAGCAATTTATCCAATAAATATAGCACAACTTAAAATATTCTCTTCTTCTCCCCCCAGCTATGGATAAATAGCAGAATAGACTGGGTTTTATAGGACAAATCTGAATTCTACACTTGTGGATGGTCGTTAGGGGACCTCATGTTACGTAGTGCACCAGGTCTCTCTATTCGGCTCTTCATAAGTCGGGTTGGTTCTACACAAAGCCTTTACCACCATAATCAAATCATATGTGCTGGTGTCTGTGATTTCGGTTCCTAGGAACTGAGCTGCTTAACTCTCATAAGTCGAATACGACCACCATATATATATATATATATATATATATATATATATATATATATATATATGTGTGTGTGTGTGTGTGTGTGTGTGTGTGTGTGTGTGTGTGTGTGCGTGTAAACAAGATAGATTCCAATGTTGGCAGTTCTTTTATAGAAGTCTTAACAATCAATCCTGTGATTCATATAAACTGAAATATTTGAATCCAGTTGAAGAATGAAGCAATAAATAAATAAATGTTCTCAGACATTTCCAAAACTGACGATGACCGGAGAATATATTGGTACATTCGTTAAAAACTACGAAGAGAAAAAAATCTGTCCGAACATATCGAATTAACAAAAAAAAACAACAGCGACAGCGTCATGGACATACAAAAGATGATATGAAACAGTAACGGATAGATATGAATAGAAAGCTTCTTTATGAAGAGACTGAGATAGATAGATAGATAGATAGATAGATAGATAGATAGATAGATAGATAGATAGATAGATAGATAGATAGATTCAGGCTGATGATAGATAGATAGATAGATAGATAGATAGATAGATAGATAGATACGAACATACCGTGATAGATAGATAGATAGATAGATAGATAGATAGATAGATAGATAGATAGATAGGAACATACCGTGATAGATAGATAGATAGATAGATAGATAGATAGATAGATAGATAGATAGATAGATACGAAGATAGGAACATAGATAGATAGATAGATAGATAGGAACATACCGTGATAGATAGATAGATAGGAACATACCGTGATAGATAGATAGATAGATAGATAGATAGATAGATAGATAGATAGATAGATAGATAGACAGATAGATAGATAGGAACATACCGTGATAGATAGATAGATAGATAGATAGATACGAACAAACCCTGATAGATAGATAGATAGATAGATACGAAGAAACTGAGATAGATATGAACAGACTGTGATGCACAAATAGATACATATGAATTTAGATAGATAGATAGATAGATAGATAGATATGAACATATTGAGATAGATAGATAGATATGAACATATTGAGATAGATAGAGATAGATAGATAGATAGATAGATAGATAGATAGATGTTGAAGTAACAGACGTAGATTCAACATATATATTTAATATGTTGAATTTCGCGTCCCAATAGATGCCTTTTATGTGGCATGTATCTGTTGCAGAGACTTAAACCCTCCACAAGAGGGGGCTAGATACGAGCAACCTTGGCTATAAAAACTCCCTTTTGTCTCTAGCGTAATCCGGATATGTGTTTGCCTTTTTGTGCACAATTCATTGTGATTTTTACCCTTTAATATTCATATTCTACATTGAATAGCAGCGCAAAGGCTGAAATTTCATTAAACCAAATAATCTAATCAAATTGGCGGGATCCATTTCGTAAATTCAGGGCAAATAGAGAAAGCTGATTTATTACATAAGAGTTTTGGGGATTTTTTTCAGTGAGGAGAGGAGGTGTACTAGACAGAGGTTTTTTTAAAATCTGGATAAATAAATCTACCCAATAAAGAGAATGTGATAAATTGCAACCTGGAACCAAGTAAGCGTTCTGGGAATGAAAAAGCCGGAATTGAACTTTTAAAATCAATAGAAAGAAGAAACAGTTTGAAAAATGAAGGATAAACCAAGAAAACAAATGAAATGTTCTTCATAAAAGCGTATCTTTACAAACAAACGTAATCGTACGCGTGCAAAGAGGAAGAATATAAAACTGTCAAATAAGATAGAGAAGAAGTCCAGAAGACAATCAAACGATGCGAATTTAATCGAATTAATCGAGAAACTTCAAGGGGCAAAAGCCATAGCCGAAGTAAACGCGGAGAAAAGATCGTTCATATCAACGCTTGCTTAGGCAGATAGAAAGATAAAAGAAGCAGCAGTCGGACGGAGATAACTGATATCGAACGATGATAAATAAGAAAGAAAATAAATAAAAAAAAGAACACAAGGCGAAAAAGAACTTGGGAGAGAAGGAAAAAAAAAACGAAGATCATTTCTAACAAAAAAAATTATCAGAAGCGAGACAGAGAAAGACATTTAAAAATGTAAACATTCCATAGCAAGACTGTGCTAAGATTGAGTGTTTTGTATCGAGCGATATTTAAGCAAGATCGTCCCTAAAAGAAAAAAAATGAGTTCGTTCTTAGCTGTATTCCCTTGAAAGGAAGCGAAGGGCGATTATCTCCCCTTCGTTAAGACGAAATCCCGAGGGTCACGTGACGGCCATAATGATGTGAATTCGTGCTGTGACAAAAGCGGAGTTGCTATTTAAATCGCGTAGAGACAAGACAGCTGTTGATGATAGACTGCTAAGGCGCTAGACGACATCGTAAGTCCACAGCAGTAAGGAGAAATTCCTCAAAGTTCTTAGAGCATACCACAGAACTGGCTGTTTTCCATTCGGAAAATATTACAAGTAAGACTCTCTCGCTTCTTGCCTTTCTATTCTACTTGTTCTATTCAAATGTTACAATTATGTGACAAATTAGAGACAAGTATTTATACATTTGTATATAATCTCTTGCGTGGCGTAGTAGTATATACATAAATAACTAGAGAATAATGCATGTTCGTCATTCCTTTCTTTCGGCTATTCTGCTCCGTCTGCGTATTGAGTTTATAATAATGCCTACAATGGGGAAATGGAGACTTGGAATATTCTTTCTTAGTTTATACCCACGTTATTCTATTATTGTGGCCTAAATATATCTGAACAAATATCTAGGAGTTCTCACCGCGAAGTCGTACTTTGAATGTTCTATAGGCACTCGCTGCCATTTTTATTATGACTTTGTGTCAGACAAAGATTAAGAGGTCCTGGGAGTCAAGTATTAAACAATCCTACTCGCCTATCATTATTCTGGATGGCTTACTAAAATATCTTATGCCATTCATCCAAAACTTCTTCAACTGTATAAGAAGCTTTTTGCGGGATGTACACAGAGTGAAATATATCAGAAAGCAAAATTAAGTAAGATGAAGGTTATGTGTGCTTATAGCTTCCGTATCCCACAAAATATTGGTTATACAAACAATTTAAGAACAAATTACATGGCAAGAAACTACTAAATACTGTTGTTAAAGATTTAACATTAAATAAATTTTTATATCAACAATAAAATATACATGTAACGACAATTACAATGTTTGCTGTTGTGATAATTAAGACAATGTTATAAGGAATATTTGTGCAGGAATGTTAAGAAATGTTGGTACTTTTTGGTTGTTAAGAAATTTAAAATGATTTGGTTTCTGCAAAGAAAAGAAATTATATGTGTTCGTTCATTTATCAATGTGTGTACGTGTGTAATTTACAAGTAAGAATAAATGTTATCAAGAGTTGCTTCCCTTTGTCTGTGTAGGCTAAGTTGGTGAAATATACAATTACTTTTTAGTTGTAAAATTGTTTTATTTTTCAAGTCAACTGTAGTTGTTGGTTAACACGCGGACAATGGTTGATGAATGTCTGTTGAGTTTGTTGCGATATTAATGTGGTGTGTGAGTCAGTGAATTGTCACGCGTGGAGTTTGGTAGCACCTCGTTGAACTCCGGTGGCTGACTGTCTGAATTGAGTCAGCTGCGGTAAATTTATAGATTTTCTGTGTAGCGAAATCGTCGCAAAAGAGATTGGCGGGAAATTATGCTACACTTTGGTGCTTATTAACCAATAAAAAGATTGGATTTGCAAAAACGAGATGATGATTGGTTAAAGGCTTTTTAGAGAAGAATACTTTTTTCTGAAGTGGGTTAAAGGCTAATGTGGAAGATTTCACAAGCTCTTATACTCATTGTTACTTTTGTCAGTAGCATTAAATAAATAACAGCAACAGAGGCTCATTGTCGTTTTTGAGTCCGTTAAATGTTGTATTAATTTAGCGTGCTGTGTCATGGATTAATGATTAGCAGCCGTGAAAGCCATAAGTACGAGTTGTCTGTATATTATCCTTATGTCAAGCTAAGCGTTGTGTAGTAAATAACTACATGCTGGGCATGAAAAATGTTTATCTGAAAAAGCGAAGCGTTATCAATATGGTAAAATCCGATACTTGCAACGCAGAGGAATCGTGTGTGCACTTGGATATTTAAGAAAAGAAGATAAAGAGATCAAAGGGAAAAAAAACAATAGCCAAGAAATCGATATCATTCAAAACATATTATAGAAATGTAACTGTCTATCTCATGTTGTTCACATCTGTGTACGTATCTAGTGAGAAAGCTTTACCTGTTTCTAGCCATTTCTCTTTATATATTCATGTATCACAATATGTTTATAGCGTTCTATTCATAGTTTTCTTAGCCTTTTTCTATCTCAGTAGGTTCATATCTATCTATCTATCTATCTATTATAGTCCGTTTATTACCTATCTATTTATCTATCTATATAAGTCTGTTACTATCTATTTATCCTGTTCAATATGTTTATAACCTTGTTAGCTCAATCTGTTCATACCTGTATCTACCACTGTCCGTTCGTATCTATCTATCTCAGCCTGTTTGTATCTTTCTATCTATCTATCTACCACAGTTTGTTCGTATCTATCTATCTAAATATCACAGCCTGTTTCTTTCTATCTATCTATCTATCACAGCCAGTTTCTTTCTATCTATCTATCTATCTATCTCAGCCTGTTCATATCTATCTATCTATCAATCACAGTCTGTTCGTATGTATGTATGTATGTATGTATGTATGTATGTATCTATCTATCTATCTATCACAGCCTGTTTCTTTCTATCTATCTGTCACAGTCTGTTCGTATGTATGCATCTATCTATCTATCTATCTATCTATCTATCTATCTATCTATCACAGTCTGTTCGTATGTATGCATCTATCTATCTATCTATCTATCTATCTATCTATCACAGCCTGTTTCTTTCTATCTATCTATCTGTCACAGTCTGTTCGTATGTATGCATCTATCTATCTATCTATCTATCTATCTATCTATCTATCTATCTATCCATCACAGCCTGTTTCTTTCTATCTATCTATCTGTCACAGTCTGTTCGTATGTATCTATCTATCTATCTATCCCAGTCTCTTCATAATGAAGCTCTCTATTCATATCTGTCCGTTAATGTTTGATATCATTCTTTCTATGTTCATGCATTTGTTACTGTTTTTTTTTTCTTAATTCGGTATGCTCGGATGGATTTTTCCATCTTCGTTGTTTTTAATGTTTGTACCAACATATTCTCCGACCATCGTCAGTTTTATGCTTCATCCCATCTTTGGAAATGTCTGAGAACCTTTTATTTATTTATTTATTGCTTCATTCTTGGTATCAGCTGAACTCAAATATTCCAGTTTAAATGAATCACAGGATTGATTGTTAAGACTTCATATTCTGAGTAAAACTGGCAACACTGGAATCTGTCTTGTTTTTACTCCCGTCGCAGTAAGCATTAACGATGCCACGTGTTTAAATTTGACAACTCTTATATGAAGCAGGGATTAATTACTAAAAAATGGCTGAGTTCTTTGAATGTACTGTTAAAATACCAGTGTTCTATTGGATGCGTGATGTTCTCGTTTAAAGAATAGGCTAAGAAAAAACTTGTTGTTGAGTAACTGCCAAAAATATATATTTTCAGCTTCTTTTTATTGTTACATAATGCCAGATGCAAAAATTAACCGGGTTAGGGTTTGATGCATTGCTAATCGTCAAATAAATAAAAGGACTTATTTTGAAATACAAGAGAGAGACATAAATGTAAAAGATGTTGATTATAATGTAGTGAGTATGTGGTGATAAAGAAAGAAAGAAAACAGGAAAATGGATGAATAGTAAAAGCAGATTGGAATATGGTAAGATAACAGTAAATAAAAGAACGAAAGAAAGAAAGAAAGAAGAGAAATAAAGAAAGAAAGAAACAAACAAACAAACAAGGGAAAATGAATGAATAGTAAAAACAAATTGGAATATGGTAAGATAACTGTAAATAAGCAAAAGAAAGAAAGAAAGATGAATATATAGTACAAGCAAATTGGAATGTGGTAAGTAAACTGTAAATAAGCTAAAGAAAGAAAGGAAAGATATACACAAATCAAAAAAGAAAAATGGAAAGAGAGAAATAAGAAAGCAGAAGAGAGACAAAACTGATTCACATAACCGGAAATAAAAGAAAGAAAATGTCAAAGAAAGAAATGAACTGAGAAAGAAAGAAGACATTTGCAATGTGAAAGCAAGTAAGGACAAAGATAGAACTGAAAAGAAATAGGGAATAGAGAATGAAGAGAAAGAAAGAAGTAATGAAGAGAAATAATAAAAGAAAGAAAGGGAACAAAACGAAGATAGAAAGAACTAATGAAGAAAAAAATAACCAAAAAAATGAAAAAGAAAAGAATGAATATAAAGAAAAGAAAGAAGAGATAAAATAAAAATGAAAGGCAAAATTAAAAAGACATTAAAAACGCAATATAATATAAAAAAAAAATGTCAACGAACGAGTTAAACTAGAAATGCAAAGGAAAAGAAAGACGAAAATTAATTAAAACAACATGAAAAGAATTGTTGATACCAAACCACTTAAATAGTAATAAAAAAATAATTCTTTAAAAAAAGAAATATTTTCGCGCGTTTCTAAATAAATAACCGAAAACAAAAAACGAAAAAAATGCGTAGGAAGGCTTTTTTTAAGTAAGAAACTAAAACCTGAAAATTGTCGGATGTTGATGGATATGTGAATGAAGACTGTTTAGTACTCAGATATGACCTTCTGCCACTTTTGTTTGGCTGAGGACCAAGGTTTCTCAAATTCTTTCATTTGTTCGATAATTGTAGTATTCAATATCGTGAGCCAAGCTGGACTTGACCTGATTGACATATCGACTGCTGTTCCGGATGTGTTACGAATTGTTTTGTTATCTGACCTAGGACAGAAAGAGTTATCTACCTTTAGTTTTATGAAGATCAACGTGTGACTATCGAAAGTTGTTAGTTACAGGATCAACTTAACACATTCAGAGGAACCAAGTTGAGCTCATTTTACGCTGAAGACATTTTATTGCAATGTCCTCCACATTTATAAGTCTTACGGCCATATCACGTTGAAACACGCGTTCTCTTACGACAATTGAAGTTAAGCAACATCGAGCCTGCTCAATACGTAGACGGGTGATAGCTTGGAAATATCGGGTGCTATAAGTTTGGATGTGTGGTGGTGTAATCGATAACGGCTCGGAATTGTAAATAGAAGAGCAGAGTTCAAATTACACTCGGGTTCGTTATATTCACTTACACACAAGTACTCTTTGGAAAAGTATGAATCCATCTGTTCTCCCCAACTATGGATTAAATAATATGATTTGTATCAGTAAATTATTATTATATCTAAAAAATTCTTACAACAATTTCTGGCTTGAAATAACTTGGAAAAGGTTGATAAGCCGTAAAAACAAATCAGTAAATCGACATTTATAAAATCTGGGGATTCAAAAAAAATAACGGGTGCACATGTAAACGGTTTAATATTTGAGAAAATATTTTTTTGAAAACAAACTATTATACTTTTACTGCATTTGATTTTCCGGATTGCATGCAAATTTATTTTAAAGAGAAACTTTGTAATGGATGTGGTAAGTAAGTCAGGCATTGTCTATAAATATCTTTTAAAATTATATCAATACATAGACAATTATAAAACAGTGAATTTAATAGACCACTATATATATATACATATATATATATATATATATGAGGAAATATAGTCTTAAGGTGTGCTATATTTATGGGATAAAGTGCTCGATATCAGAGATAGAGCGTGTGTAAATATAAAAGTGAATATAGAAGTCAACACTTAGAGGCGACAGACTGTTTCATGCTATATGCAATCGTCAGGCCACGTGTGCTGTTATTTTTCTCGGCTTCATCCAAGTAAATAAATAAACTAACCAATCCCGATAAAGTTACCGATAGAAAAAAACAAATAAAGATAATCAACCCAAATAAACACAAATTAAAAACTGTTTCTGCCAAAATAATAGTTAGAATAAAACTACAACAACCAACCCCCAAACGGAACAAATAGCTTTAATTAAATTCTCAAAACAAAACTATTAAATAAGTGATATAAACAATTTTTTTTAAATAAACGACTTCCGGTAAAATAACCGCCATAATAGACTACCCACAATGCACCACTGACCCGTATATGTATAAATAGCCGAGAAAAATAACAGCACACGTGGCCTGACGATTGCATATAGCATGAAACAGTCCGTCGCCTCTAAGTGTTGACTTCTATGTTTTCCTTTTTTTCCCGTTTAACTTAGCTAGGGTATGTAAGCTCATTGGTCCCTTTTATTTCTGTCCCTATTTTTTACTTTTGTTTAATTCCCCATCCCCTCCCTCGTTAGGTGGTTAGTGATGTCGGTTCTCTGGTGGATGCGGGACGCCTTTCGTTTCGGGTGTGTGTTTTCGTTTTTGTTGTTGTGTATGAATGAGTGAGTGGTTGTGTGAATGCTTGATGGTTTGAATGTGTAATCATTTTCTTAGTCCCGCATCGATTTCGTCTGGTTAACTGACATTTCTGCCACATTCATAGTTTGTGGGGGGTTTTATTACTAACTCAGTTTTGTTTAGTTTTATTGTATATAATTATTTCATTCTGTAAATACGCATTTGGGGATTTTTTAAAAGTTGTTATTTTTATGACCCTCCCCCCATGAACAATATTTGTATATATGGGGACTAGTTAGGACATCATAGAGAAACTGAGGTATTATGGTGGACGTAGTAAGAATGGTAGGAGTGAATGTGATGTTTTGGTGATTGGATTATTGTTGGCATGTTTGGGTCAGTGTCTGCGACTAGCTAAGTTTAGATTTAAGACAGATGAAGACCGTCATTCCCCATCCCCCTTTTCGGCCTTGTGCCAAATTTTGTATTTTAATACAAATAAATATTGTGTTGACTTCTATGTTCACTTTTATATATATATATTTATATATATATATATATATATATATATATATCGTCCCTAGTCACAGTAAACTGGATATCTATTGGGTGGATACTTTCAGTATTGAGTATCAACTGACTAATGACTACATTAATTACTTTAGCGTAAAATGGACCGTGGTCTATTTTTTGCCTTGGCCGTTTTCTACATTATTGCCTCAAGTATAAACTATACTTATGTCGACATTTCTCTGCTGTAAACCAAAGCTATATGTATCTTTTTTTACGCTAGTGCAAGTGAACCGATGTCTACTTTTTTTGATCTAGTTTAAACCAGTTCGTTTGGTGGTGTTAAGGGAATTCAAAAGTTATCTGTATTGTCCATCACCCCAGGCGCTTCCGGTCACTTCTTCAGTCATTTTAAAAGGGTTTGTTTTTCAGTATTGCTAATTTCTTTTTTATGTTTAAGATGTAGACTTAAAAACAAAGTTATTAAAACTTTAAAACTTTTAAGTCTTAAAAACACCAATACCTTGAAAATCGCTGAAAGTAGCCGAAAGATGTAGACTTAAAAGCAAAAATTTTAAAAACTTTTAAGACTTAACTCCCCTTAACTTTGAAAATGGCTAAAAAAAAGTGTTTGAAAATGTTTGAGTCAATACAGACAATTTTTACCCTCCTTTACCTTCTCAAAACGGGAAATTGAACGAATGTTGTAAAAAAAAAAAGTCATCAAATTTTATTCAACGAAAAATATTTAAAAGAAAATTTGCTTCCCAAATATACATTATTTTAAAGTCTAGTGTACACTATATCTATGTCAAGGTTTCTGAACTCTATCAAAAGCCAAACCTATGTCTGTCTTTTCAACTCTTAGCGTAAACGAGGCTGTGTTTGAATGTGTCAAAAATACTCTTGCGTAAACCAAACCTATGTCAACATCTCTGATTCTAGCGGAAACGGGACTCTATTTAAATATGTCTGACTTTTTTTTACTCGGGCGTAAACCTGACCAAGGCTTAGCTGTCGACTAGTTCATTTTGATTTTTCCTTTAGACTCATATTCGAGAATAAATAACCCAAGTGAATCAATCTAACATTAAAATTAATATAACGCCAGAAATATAAAAAAAACGAAATTATTGACATATTGTTCAGTTTAACGATCAAAGGCATAGAAAAGGATTCACGCCGATGCAAGCGAACATAAAATGGCGAATATACGCTAATCTTTTTACAAAATTTCAACAAAAGAGCTATAAGCTTATTTCAGCAAAGGATTGAGAGATCACTGATAAATGCTAGCGCTATAAAAAAAAAACTGAATGCCTTTAGGATATATTTTATAAAGAGGCTGGATAATCAGAAACACATTTTTCACTTCTTTAAAACAAACAAAAAAAAAATGTCTTTCCATTTACGCTGTCAGTCATCTTCTTCCTTGCCCAAACATTTGTCCTTTTAGTTCTCGCTTTCATTTCTGTCATTTGCTCAGCCCTCCAACTTGTTTTTGTGAATCTGTCGTAATCCCCTTCTCTATGTTTGAATCACTCAGTCCCCGAAGGGCTTTATCAAAAGAAATGTGAGGATTTTATTTTGCAATGAGTATTTAGAACCAGAAAAAAAAATAAATGATTTTAGTTCTTCAGAATTTTTCATAAAAAATAAATATATATTACCGATATTTTCAAGTTATCTAGATTTTTATACACACACACACACACACACACATATATATATATTGACGTAAACTTTTGAACAATATATATGTATTTAATACATTTTCTATTTATATGTTATTTTAATGGATGCAATTTATTCAAGTAAATGTTCTGCTTTTAATTAAACATTATTAATTACATTTACCGACCTGAATGATCGAGAAATTTCGTAGAAAATATGCGTTCTCCGACAGGAATCGAACCTGTATTCCTATATAGTCTTTTGACCTATACCATTTAGCTACAGAGAAGCGTCAGGTCAGATCAAATGATGGTTTCAGTATTGGAATACAGGTTCGATTCCTGTCGGAAAACGAATATTTTCTCCGAAATTTCTCGATTATTCTGGCCGGTAAATGTAATTAATAATGTTTAATTAAAAGCAGAACATTTACTTAAATATATTGTATCTATAAAACTAATGTAAAAAAGATTAGAAAGAAGTAAATCTATATTTTTCAAGGTTTTATTGAAATTTTATTTAAGTTTCCACATATCCTCCACGGAGCCTGTTTCTTTAAATTTTTTCATCCATTTAGCAATAGTGTTCCTATGAGGTGGTTCTTTATTGTATTCAATTCTAAACTTTCTTTGTACAGCAATAGTAGATTTCAGTTCAGCCAACCAAAGAATACAGTTTACTTTTTCCTCAGTTGAAACCACGGATCAAATTGATTCTGGAAAAAGAAAATAATTTTTTACTTACCTAAAAATTGTTGAAAATTTCGTGGTAAAGAATTATTCAATAACTATAATTAAAACTAGGTACATTAAACTTTGTAACATTTTTTACAGATTATTTCTATCGCAAATACAAATAAAGTTATAAATTTTTAAAAGTGCACACGAACTTTATGGACACCCTGTATATATATATATATATATATATATGCACAGACACAGAGTTCCATTCCTATAATACAATACAATGGGTAATACGATTTTTCAGTTCACGGAAAACATTTGCCAACTGATTTACAGTAATGCCTGAAATCACATTAGTTATTTTAGCTATACTTAAAACTAGGTACATTAAACTTTATAACATTTTTACAGATTATTTCTATCGCGAATACAGATAAAGTTATAATTTTTTAAAAGTGCACACGAACTTTATGGACGCCCTGTATATATATATATATATAGAGAGAGAGAGAGAGAAAAAAAAAAGGAAAGAGAGAGAGAGAAATAGAATTAACGCAAATAAAATTTGTCACTTACCTGATAGATGTTATATTCAACACTTTAACTCCGGAGTTTCGTGGATGAACTATTTCGTAATTTTTTTTCCCCCACCCCCACCTCGTCAGGATGGTTTAGCAATTTCTCATTTTTCTTTATTTTTATACTAAGTTTGACGTAATTAATTTATGCGTGAATTGGGATGCTACTGTGTATGTTTATGTGTAGTACCTGTGTTTGTGTGTTCCTGTGTATGTGTATACGTGCGCGCGTGCGTATGCGTTCAATGTTGTGGTCGTTTCTCGTTTTAAGTTCTGTGTTCCGGCAGTAATCCTGCTTTAATACATATTTCATTAAGCAGAAATGAAAAGCCAATTTTGTCATTTGTTTTATTATAGATTCTTGCATGCGAACAAGTATGTTCTTCAGAGTCTGTCTATATTTCTGAGATTAGGTATTATGTACAGTATTTACATTAGTCGGACTATTGTCCTCATCTTTGTCGCCAAATATGGCGACAAAGATGAGGACAATAGTCGGACTAATGTAAATACTGTAAGTATGTTCTTTTCTGAACTTAACAAGTTTAGAAACTGTCCAAATATTTGTTGATCCCCGCTATCTCCTGCTAACCTAATAGCAATTTTCAAACACTTAGTTATACTGCTATAATAAATGCTGTTGTAGACAACAAATGAAAGAAGGATGGACAAAGTTCGGTTTGTGGGTGCATGCAGACCCCACTTAATAATTTGCAATTAAGCTTTTTTGAGAGCATAAATAAATTGTCAGTACAATGTAAAATGACGTGAGAATCTATAGAGCGAAACACATGACATGATTTCCACGTTTCAATTTACGAGTAAACGTCTCACGAGATTTAGCGAGAATTTCTTATTATCATAAAAGATTTTTCTCGGTTGTACAAATCTTATTAATGCTAATAAATGTATTAAATATTAAATTATTATGTTTCTGCAATCTGTTCAAAAATACGTAAAAATCATATAAATATACAAATAACATATATTTGATTGCGGAATAATTCATGAGCGTTTTTTCTTTCAAATATATTTAAAACAAAACCTACGACAAATTAATCAATAATGCAATCTCCGTTGTAGTGTCCGTCCTGGGTATGACGATAAACTACATCTGCGTCCTGGGTAAGACGAGGAACTGCATCCAACAACAAGGCCTCTGATCAGGAGGTTTTGAGGAGCATGGAACCTCCTCTTAATTGCTGGTGTTCCCAGGTCCACCCTGACCCGGGGTGGTAGCACTTGTTAGGGTTCCAGCCATGGGCAAATAGTTAACCCCCAAACTGGGGTCAGAACATTATGAAAGTGTAAAAATAGGTTTTAATACCAGAAATGCTTTTATAAAACAAATTACCAGCAATACATTTTTGAAGAAAAAAAATATTAACAAAAATAGATTTTTACAGGAAAAAATATTACCAGCAACAAAAATGTTGTCAGCATTAAATAACCCATTGAGATTGATATGCCGTAAAACAAAATAAACCAAACCGTTGTTGTGTACGACTTCCTCCCATTGTTCAATAAGCTTTTCAATGTCTCGGCGATAGAAATCTTCCGGTGTTGACTCACAGAATTCGTCCAATGAAGCCCTCAATTCTACGTCATTATTGGAAGATACACCGCAAAAAGCGTTCGAAAAATATGAAAAATCTGACGGCGCCAATTCTAGAGACTGTGGAGAATGAGGTAGCACTTCCCATTCAAGTTCTTAAATCGCCGCTTTAGCCATATTGCCGATGTGAGGACGGGCGTTGTCGTGCTGCAGAAGAACGCCATTTTGCCGAATCGGTCTTTTTTTACTGAATTGCTTCTTTAAAACGCATCCCAGAAAAATATTAGCCCTTCTTTGATTTTTGCATCTAGAATTCGTAGCTCGGAACTTGGTCTCTTAAATGGTACTTCAATTTTAGTATCATTTAAAGAAAGAAACATGAACATTCGCGAAATAAATTATAATTCCTGACAAATGCTACAGAATACGGTTGTCGAAACGTAATGCGAAAAGTAGCCAAAATCGGAATCTGATTCCAAATAACCATCTACCATATCACTTTTTAGACGCTGCTCTTTGACAGCAGCCTGGTCTTGAGCAAATTAGCTTGCGTCTCCCAGTAATGTAACTTGCGATGAGGAAATCAATTGGTGATTCCACACTGACTAATCCATCTGCGCTGAAATGTTTTAGTAAGATACGCATACTTCCTTCATCTTGTGGAAAATAGTGTTTTTCCTCTCCATCAGGCAGACATAGAATCACTGGCATAATTGGTCCGCGATAGTGAAGCGGTATGAAGTTGATTTGATTTATACTTTACTGTCTATTTGCTATAACTATTTTTGGTAGTGTTTTGGTTAGCACTTTCTAAGGAATGCTCTCTCTCTCCCTCTCCCTCTCCCCTCTCTCTCTCTCTCTCTCTCTCTCTCTCTCTCTCTCTCTCGCAATACATGTGTATATGTATTTACCAGCTATTCCTATAGTAACATGTTGAGTTAGCCGAGTGTATATAAATGTCCATATCAATAAAAACCGATATGGAGCGGTGATGAATGGGGACATTAAAGTGTACGAAACAGGCAGTCGTGGCTGTGTACACGCATGACGAATTATTATATATATATATATATATATATATATATATATATATATATAGAGAGAGAGAGAGAGAGAGAATATTTAGACAGCAATCCTTCATTTATATATAATAAAAAAAGGCTCAAACACTATTTTTTATTATATTCTTACTTCGTTCTGGACATTGAGTTCCACCTGGATTCTATCCTCTTGGGAAATATATATATATATATATATATATATATATATATATATATATATAGTATCAGACTGTCCTTTTACAAATTTTATTTATCAATCCGACATATTTTTATGACTTTAAACGGTATTTTAAGTGGATACTCATATTTAAGTATACGCCCCATTTATTTATTAATCAGTGTAATTATTTATATTCGTCTACCTGCCGAAATATTTGTGCAATCTTATTATAAAAAAATATGCGATCTCCGGCAGGATTCGAACTTGCGTTCCTCTGGATCTAGTGTTCCCTCTGTTGTACTCCATTGTAGGATATCGTATCAAATTTTGACATGCAAGCTTCTTGTTGTGGTGATCCCTTGGCCATACCACTGTTAACAGCCCAAAGTTATCCCATACCTTGTCAAACTGAACAGTGTAAATAATGCCATTACTTCTTTTAGCTGCTCATATTTTAGTCTGAAATTATATATTTTCAAACATCTAACAATTGAAAATCTAATATAGCCAAATTTATTACCCGGGGTCACGCCATGCTGTCATTAAGGGTGAACATTTCTAAGTGGTTTTTGATTGAGAATGGGATGTCATCGATGGAAAAGTGTAGTTAACGCAAATACTTGCTCTGTAAAGAAACAAATAAATTAAAAAATTTTGATTAATGACGTGTCGTAAGCAAACAGTTCAAGGCTAAAAGACAAAAAGTGCATGAAGAAGTAAAAGCTAACGATTGCTAGTTGGACGGATATATGTAACAACGGAAGATCAAAGGATGCATAATCTAACTAAAAGTATAAAAAAATAGATTATGAGTAAAATCAGAAGCGAAACCAGAGAAAGCAATGAAAAGAAATTGCAAGAAAAAATTATGTTTATTTATACGCCAAGGCCTTTCAGAGTATGGAGAGTATGGTTCTCAACAGCTTTTCTATTTTTGTGGCTCTAAGTACCAACTGACTCTTTACTATTTTTGTTATCCTTGTTCTATTATTCATCCGCACAAACTCGTTAAGTAGGTTACTCACAGTTTTCTCTTATTTCTGCATTTGTATGTACTTATGTATTTATATAATGTTTTCATGGGGACCTACCGGGCACTATTCGTAACATACTTGTTGACAACACTAATATAATAGCAGCATTTACATGCAAAAAAAGGCTAAAACAATGGAAGCCTTATTAATAAAAGCAAAAAAAAAACAACACTTAATAATATTAACTATGAACATGGACACAATATCTTGACCGTGTTTTGAAAATGAAAACATTATATAAATACATGCATACACCAAACTGTTTCTTGTTAACAGTTAATATATTCAACCTTGAAAATGGATAAATGTATAGCCGAAAGTGCTCGGATAAAAAGAACAATTGGACAAATTTTTTATATAATTTATCATCAAAAAAGAAAAATTATTAGATCACATGAGAAATTGTATAAAAAACTAAATCAAAGAACTTTGTCTGTCGTATTCAATGAAATGTGCATATAGATAGATAGATACATACATACATACATACATACATATATAGATACATAGATAATATTAGTGGTCAATATATATATATATATATATATATATATATATATATATATATATATATATATATATAAATTCCCAAGAGGATAGAATCCAGGAAGAACTCAATGTCTAGGACAGAGTAAGAATATAATATAAAAGGCTCAAACACTAATATTCCATGGTTATAATTTATTATATTTAGTCGTAATCACGATCCAATTCATCAGACCTACAAATTTAAAAAGAAATTGGAATTTTTTTTTCACCAAATTTCTTTTTGAATTTGTAGGTCTGATGAATTGGATCGTGATTACGATTCCACTGTAATAAATTATAACCATGGAATATTAGTGTTTAATCCTTTTTATTATATATACATATATATATATGTGTGTGTGTGTGTGTGTGTGTGTGTGTGTGTGTGTGTGTGTGTTTGTGTGTGTGTGTCTGTGTTCTTGTTTGTAATCCCTATTTATATTAATTACAGTTGGACTAACATCCTTATCTTTGTTGTTTTATCAAAATGTTCCTTTCGTTGTGTTCACCGGGCATCTTAATATATCTTTCAATTCTGTTAACCCTCAGGGATCTTCTGTTGTCTATAGCTGGAAATACTTCGTCTTTTCCTTTTTATTATTGCTCAATTATTACTTGTTTTGTTTCCACATAGTCTGTGTTTCTGCTACCCGGCCCATGGATTGAAATCGCAATTGATATATCACCAAATCACGAACACATAATTAATCCTCAAGTATATTGTCCCATACACATTCTAAAACTTTTTTTTTTTTTTTGCAACTGATGTTAATTTTTTCTCGAGCTTGGACTCCTATTTATATCTGAAAGGAAAAGGGAATCGTTAAATACGAAGAAAGCCGACAGATATTTCTGTCTGGTAATAATGACCAGCCAAATATTAGAGTAACTAATGCTATTGTAAATCTTGCTGTTAAAACTGTCAAATAAGATCGATCAAAAAGAGAAAGAAAAAGAATCGGCTATTAGGAATTAAACTGTCTGACCGTGTGTTGTTTTCCGTGTCGCCACTGGCTTCAGTTCTTCAGGCCCCAACGCCACATCATCGACTATATCAACGGTTTATTTTCTTTATTCGTTTTATTATACAAGAGAGGCAGGTGTGGTAGCGTGATAAGGGGAGAAAAATATTCAGGGGAACGCAAGATGACTCCTTGGATTAGCAGTTCACCACGTTTTATCTAGTCTCTCTAAGGAATCTGGGTGCGAGAGGTGTCTTGACTCTTCACTATTCTTGCGGCCGTCTGCTGTTTCCGCGCCATTTTGGGGTTATATTCAAAACTTAGACAAAGGCAATCCATCACTGCCAGAAATTCATGACCCCAGAATCTTCTGACCAGTTGTTTGCGATGCAATTAAAAGCTCGTTGATTAAAATCGTTCCCTGCCTCGTGAATTGTTCAAAAACTTGTAGCGTGATAATTAGAGAAAGAAATAAGCGTCCTCTTTTTTAACCCAGGTTCGTACACCTTCTATTGCTGCCAGTGGGTAAAAAAAAGTCACAGTTCTCTCAGTAACGAAACAGTCGAGAGTTGATACAGTTGTTTTGGTTGGTTGTTTTGTTTTATGGTATATCAAAGCTCAGTGCGTCATTTAATGCCAACAAAATTTTGAAATAGATTCATAGCGAGAGTTTGTTAAAAAAAAAAAAAGGTGTGTATGTGTACATATATATTTCAAACATATTTTTCAATTACTCATATTTTTTTTAGTACAATCCAACTTCTTTTAGGAAATTTACAATCTTGGATTGTTTTATTTTCGTAAAAAGTTTTTTTTTAAATTATTCACTTGCTTTCGTTTGGTTTGTTTTATGGCATATCAACACTTCAATGGGTTATTTTATGTCGACAAAATTTTTATTGCTGGTAATTTTTTTTAAAAAATGCATTGCTGGTAATACTTTTTCACAAAGTATTTCTGGTATTAAAACCTATTTTCACATTTTTCATAGTACTTTGTCCCAAGTCTTGGTGTTAACTATTTGGCTGTGGCCCTAACAGGCGCTACCACCCCTGGTCAGGGTGGACCTGGGAACACCAGCAATTAAAAGGTGGCTCCACGCTTCCCAAAACCTCCTGATCAAAGGCCTTGCTGCTGGATGTAGTTTATCGTCTTACCCAGGACGCGGATGTAGTTTATCGTCTTACCCAGGACGCGGATGTAGTTTATCGTCTTACCCAGGACGCGGATGTAGTTTATCGTCATACACAGGAAGGAGAGTTGATACGGATATTTAAAAGGTTTATATTGAGACAACACAAAACCAAATAAAAACAAGAAGTGTCTGTGTTTTCTTTTATGTGCCATGACCCTTCAGGCCGTAGACGATCATGACCCTCCACATTTTCAGTTTTTTTTAGCTCTTAATAAGTTTTGTCTTTTTATTTCTCGCAAGCCCTCTTCCACCATCCATTTACTGAAGACGATCAAGTATGTTACGCACTGCTTTCTTCTGTCCCTCTTTCCCTCAGACTATCCTGTAAGTATCAGATTTTCCAAGCCTTCTTTCCTCATTACGTCCCCAGGAAATTTTAACTGGGCCTTCCTGTTGTTACGTATAAGTTCCTATTTGTTTCCATTCTCTCCAGAACCTTGTTGTTGCTCACATGTTCGGTCCATGGTAGCCTCAGTATCTTTCTGTAGAACCACATTTCTGTTGCTTCAAGTCTCTTCATCTTTGAGGATATTTTCCAGCATTCGCTGCCATGCAGGAGGACAGGTACCACGAAACAGTCCAATACTCTTTTCCCATTCAGAAAAGTTTCATGGCTAGCCTCCAACACTGACAAGCGTCACCAGTGGAAATAAAGAATTAATTATGTTCTCTCTATATATCTCCTGCTGTGGGAACCTCGAGGTGGTGTAATGGTTAACAAGCTTGTCTCGCTAGAACACTTACGACTGAGTAGTGAGTTCAATCCTCACTGGGTGCCCCTTATTTTCGGCCTTGTGCCACATCCAAGTTACGCTTGGAAAATCACTGTATATCTCTTGCTCTATCGTTATCTGCCCCCCTCTCTCTCTCTCTCTCTGCCTATTTTCTGACACTTTCACTATTACACTCGCGCTTTCTCTCCCCTCCTCTCTTTGTTTCTCTTAATCTTTACACGCCCTGCCCTCTCTCTTTCTTTTTGTCTATCTATCTATCTATCTTCCTTTCAATTTCTGTATTTTCTTCTCGTTTTCTTTTTCTCTATTGTGTTTCTTCCTCTCTCTGTTAATCGTTTCTTTATCTCCTCACACTCACTTTACACTCTCTCTCTCTCTCTCTTTTAACTCCTCTTTAATTTTCTCTATTTTCATACAATAGTATCTATCTCTCTATTTGGTATCTTTCCATCTCCATTTACCTTTCTCCTTCCATCACTCTCTTTCAATCACTTTTTCTAGTACTATCTTTATTCTACTCTTCCTCTCTCTCTCTCTCTCTCTCCCCCCTCTCCGCTTCTCGCCGCTTACACTGTCCCTATTTCTACCTACTTTTATCACATTTTCTTCTTTCTCATCCTCCTTTTCTCCATTCGTCTCTTTTCTTTCTTTTTCCTTTTCTTTTAAATTCCGACTTACAATGTTACAATGTCACAATCTTATTTAATGTTCCTCACTTTCTTCTTCTACTTCTCTTTTCTTTTTTATTTCTTTCTTACTTTCGTGCTTTGTTTGTTTCTTTCTGTCTTACTTGATTTCTTACTTTCTTTCTTTATTTCTTACTTGCTTGATTTGTCACTTTCTTTCTTTCTTTTTTTGTTTTTTTATTTTATTTTTTCTTTTTTCTTACTTTTTGTTTTTTCCTTCCTCTTTCCTGCTTTCTTTTTCTTGCTTTTTGTTTCTTTTTCTTTTCTTTTTTTTCTTTTTCTTTACTTTTTTTCTTCCTTTCTTGTTTTTCTTACTTTTCTTATTTTCTTTCTTTTTTTTTTTTTCTTTCTTTCTTTCTTGCTTGCTTGCTATCTTTCTTTTTTTCTTTCTTTCTTTTTTCTTTCTTTCTTTCTTTCTTTCTTTTATTTACAGTTATGTTACCATATTCCAATTTGCTTATACTATTCATTCATTTTCCCATCTTTCTTATTTTCTTTCTTTTTTGTTTTCTTTCTTCCTTTCTTCCTTTCTTTCTTGCTTTCTTTTTTATTTATTTCTTTCTTTCTTGCTTGCTTGCTATCTTTCTTTCTTTTTTGTTTTCTTTCTTCTTTTCTTTCTTTCTTTCTATCTTTCTTTCTTTCTTTCTTGCTTTCTTCCTTTCTTTCTTTCTTTATTGCTTTCTTCCTTTCTTCCTTTCTTTCTTGCTTTCTTTCTTGCTTTCTTTTTTATTTATTTCTTTCTTTCTTGCTTGCTTGCTATCTTTCTTTCTTTCTTTCTATCTTTTTTGTTTTCTTTCTTCTTTTCTTTCTATCTTTCTATCTTTCTTTCTTTCTTTCTTGCTTGCTTTCTTCCTTTCTTACTTTCTTTCTTGCTTTCTTTCTTGTTTTCTTTTTTATTTATCTTGCTTGTTTGTTTGCTATCTTTCTTTCTTTCTTTCTTTCTTTCTTTCTTGCTTTCTTGCTTGCTTTTTCTTGCTTTCTTTCTTTCTCTCTCGCTCATTTTCCATCTCTTTGACCCGCCCCCCCCGCATTGAAACAATTGTTGGATAGGGAAAATTTGGCGACGGTCAGTCTGAGAGAAAGGCAAGTTATTATAAGAGCGTTTTTAATTTGAGGGCACTCAATTAATTAGCTGTCAGTTTTTAATTAAGGTGAAGCTCGTTGTTTAATCCGTTGCCGCGTAAGATGCGGGTGGTGAAGGTGGGATTTGGCGGGAAGAAGCAAAAGCGAATTGATGCTTTTGTCACAGAGAAATGAATGCAAAGGTTTGATTAGAAAATGAGGAAATAAAAGCACGAAGAAGGAACGGCGACAAATGAGCAAGACTTAAAATGACAATCAATTATTTTTGGATAAGCTGTTTATGGGGCAGTCATTGTGACAGACAGCAATGGCGGTCAGCAAACATGGCAAGATGGATGTAGTTTGTTATTTTTTTCGATATTTATTCTGTTATGTTTAGTCTGGTACAAGGTTATAAAATTACAGCGCCCATTGGGAATCAAGCTAGCAAATAGACTGCATAATTTAGCTCCCGATTAGTCTTATGAATCAGCACATATGCTAGGCCACAAAAATTTCCTGAGCCGACCAAGCATAGAAATGAATACAATATGGGAACCAGTAATAAGGAGTGCCAGAGAAAAGCGATAACAACAACAATAATTGCAATATGAGCTCTGGTAAAATAATGCAATGATAACAGCAAGAATTGCAATATGAGCACTGGTAAAAAGTGGTTGCTGAAGACATTAGGTTTATATATGAAAATACCGAGAAATTCATACACAGATGTCCACAAGACAGATGGCACAATGGATAAAGGTGTTGGTTAGATCCAGTGACAGGACCCAAAGAGTGTGAGTTCAATACCCGGTTAAGACAGTGGAGAACTTTCAGAGGGAAATCAACAGGAGATAACTGATATCCATTAAACATGGCACCTTGAACTAGAACAGTCTACCCCAGTGAGCAAAATAAAGAGTTCAGTTCGACATTCCAACCACCTGAAGAAGGCCGGAGCGTACAAGGGCCGAAACGTTGTAATAAATATGGCGACAAAGATGAGGACAATAGTCCGAATAATATAAATAGTGTATATAATACCTCATCTCAGAAATATAGACAGATATCTTAAATATGTTATTATTTTCTCTTCGTGTTAAACGTGATATGTCCATTTTAGTTGTTGCTTTTGTCGGAAGTATTCAAATTATGGTGTTTCTGTCATTTGGTACAGCTGTTTGTGATTGTGTAGCACCAGTCCCCTAGGTTCAATAAAGGATGGTCCTCGCTAAGATCTACTGGATTTTATTCACTCAAAATCATTTTAACCATTGATCTAAGAAAGCGTTTCTATATAGCTGAGAGTTTAGATATTTCTAAACGAGTTTGGAGCCATGCATGACATCCATGTGAAAGTGTCGATCTGGCGATTATATTTAGGAACATAACAAGAGTTGTTTTTTTTTTTGTTGTTTTTAGATTTAGAGTGTTAGGTCAAGCTATCTCTAGAACAACCTGTTCTGTGTTCATTTTCTTATCTCCTATACTAAATGTGTTATAACTGGTCCATACAACGAGGTATTTGAAGTTTTTGGTATTTACTTATTTCATATACTGAATTTATATGATTGATTCAGTGTAGGTGCCAGCACTGCTTTCATTCCAATTCCAGATATTAGTTTCTGTTTTGGAAAGGTTTATCTTGAGTCCTATTCCTTGGAACGCTTGATAGAGGATGTTTTCATTTTTATGATGGATTCAGGGCATCAGTACCATCACTGCTTTCATTCCAATTCCAGATCATAGTTTCTGTTTTGGAAAGGTTTATCTTGAGTCTTATTTCTTTGAAAACTTGATAGAGGATGTTTTCATTTTTATGATGTATTCAGGGTATCAGCGCCATCACTTCTTTCATTCCAACTCCAAATCATAGTTTCTGTTTTGGAAAGGTTTATATTGATTCCTGTTTCTTCGAAAGCTTGATAGAGGATGTTTTCATTTTTATGATGGATTCAGAGTATCAGTGCCATCACTTCTTTCATTCCAACTCTAAATCATAGTTTCTATTCCTTGGAACGCTTGACAGAGTATGTCTTCATTTTTATTATGAATTCAGGGTATCAGTTCCATCACTGCTTTGATTTCAATTCCAGATCATAGTTTCTGTTTTGGAAAGATTTATCTTGAGTCCTATTTCTTGGAACACTTGTTTGCGGATGTTAATTTTATATTCAAGATTATTTTAATGTCAACTATGGCTGCCTTTATCGTCTGTATAACGCTACCTCATCATTATGAATCTAGAAAAACATAACAGAAGAGACGCTTCATGCCTTTCCCAAGGGCAGTTGTACGAAAGTGAATGCAATAGACTAACCTGAAATTCGAACTTTGCCTGCCAATTCCTCTTTGCAAGCCGATATCCTTTAAATAACTGCAGATTCTATTTATTGATTACCCTCCTTCTTGAAATGCCCATGTGTCACGTCTTATCTGACTCGGAAGTCAAATAAACACGAAAAGAGAGACAGACAAGGATTTAAGCATTGGAAAACTTTTTTATGATACATACGGTCTAACTTCTGGACAAATTAACTTTTTTTATGTTTTGTCAATAAAATCATGATTTTTACCGACAGTAGAATATTAAGACGAAAAGAAAATTAAAATACCTTCAATTTTTTCTTGATATTTAGCTAAACACAGAAGAAAGGAATTAATCAAGAACCAAAAAGAAAACATTCAATTATTTACACAAAAGTATCGATCATAAGAAATTTAATATCAATAATAATAACAACAATAAAATAACAATCAGTATTCTTATTATAAACACTGAAAATCATTAATTACATCTACATTATTACTAAAACATAATGCAAGACATAATTAAAGTTTCCAATCTTAGAAAACAACTTTTAGACCAGATAGAATAATGAAACTGGTATGAAAATGAAGTAAAGATATTTCACTTCAAATTTACGAGGGTTGTTTGATAAATAATATCAACAGTCTTAGAAAACACATTTTAGACCAGATACAATAATAATGACGGTATCAAAATGAAGCAATTTTATTTCTCTTCAAAATTACAAAAGTTGATTGATAAGCTCCGGAATCCTATAAAAAATGTTTCTGATCTGATCGAATGAAATTGATATCAAAATGAACTACATCTATTCCGTTTCAAAATTACAAGTGCATTGCACACCATAATTGGGTGTTTTTTTCATTCCCTCCAGGAAGAAGGTGTGTTTTATTTTTGATCCAGTTGCTTAAAGTAACTTCAACTTTGCTTCTGGAAAATGGTGGCTATTCAAAAGACTTATTAAAAAAAAAGAAAGAAAGATTATTCAAATATACATTCAAAACATGATTTCAAAATTATTCAATTTCAGTACCAACCTGATGGTACCACATTAGTGAGATACAGTAGGTATGCAACAACTTACTATTACTCAATGTTGTCACATAGTGAAAAGATACTAAGCAATTTTAAAGCCGACTTCCTATACTACAGAATAAACGTTCAAATATGTTTCTTTCCACTATTGCTTCTAAATCGATACACAGAAAGCAATTTACACAGAAGGAAAATTCTCGAGAGTGCCGTCATCGAATATTATCAAAATAGGAATCTACGCTCCAGTTGTTTTTCCAATCTCGCCATTCCTGAAAGAATTACTACTTTTCCAAGCTAAAATACACAACCGCGCGCGCACACACACACACACACACACACACACACACACACACACACACACATATATATATATATATATATATATATATATATATATATATATATATATATATAATAAAGTAATATAGTCTTAAGGTGTGCTATATTTATGGGATAAAGTGCTCAATATCAGAGATAGAGCGTGTGTAAATATAAAAGTGAACATAGAAGTCAACACTTAGAGGCGACAGTCTGTTTCATGCTATATGCAATCGTCAGGCCACATATGCTGTTATTTTTCTCGGCTATTTATATATATACGGGTTAGTGGTGCATTGTGGGTATTCTATTATGGCGGTTATTTTTACCGGAAGTCGCTTTGTTTATTTATTTGGGTCAAATTATATTGCTCGTTTTTATTTTTTTATTTTTATTTTTTCTTTATTTATTTATTCACGTATTTAACAGTTTTGTTTTGGTTTGAGAATTTAATTAAAGCTATTTGTTCAATTTTGGGGTTGGTTGTTGTAGTTCATTCTAACTATTATTTTTTTGGCGGGAACAGTTTTTAACCGCCATAATAGAATACCCACAATGCACCACTAACCCGTATATATATAAATAGCCGAGAAAAATAACAGCATATGTGGCCTGACGATTGCATATAGCATGAAACAGACTGTCGCCTCTAAGTGTTGACTTCTATGTTCACTTTTATATATATATATATATATATATATATATATATATATATATATATATATATATATATATTTGTGGAGAAGTTAAATATTTAAATTGCTATCAAGCATGAAATCTAGTTTATCTAAATTGACCAAACATCATGCTATATCAGCCTTCTCTTTCCTTCAAAACACGACGTCCATCTCTTATTTCTTATCTCTTTACTCCCCCCTCCACTTTTTTTCTTTTTTTCCTTTTTCATTTTCTCCTTTTTTTCCCATATCATTTCCGGTGAGTTAACAGATTAAATAGGTCAATGTCTAATCCTTACCCCCCTCCTCCTCAATATAAATATTGTAATATGAATAAATTTTTAAAATCTCTCTTCCCTCTCTAAATACGACCATTTCTCTCACACTATCCCTCACCACCCTCTATGTAACATTATATAAGCTTAATACTTCACTTCAAAAGTGTAAATTTTAAATTCATATTTTCACCCTTGAAAGTGAAGTCTGAAGATCCAGAGAAAAATATAATCTCTGGTGCACTAAATTATAACTAATGAAAAAAATTAAACTTTATATATATATATATATATATATATATATATATATATATATAATTCTTGCAATTTTCTGGTGCAAGCATTTTGAAGCCTGAAGATTGCATGAACTTCATGAGACTCTGAATCGTGCTAATGACGTTGGAAATTATGTATATTCACTTAAACATGTAATTATAGCTCTGTTTCATAATATTGAGCACTGTATTTATGAGGAAGAGATATATTCATGCGTATGTATCCTAGCCATTCCTATATATATATATATATATATACACCTAGTGAGCCAGCCTTACTTTCCCTGACGATCTGTTTAGGTGAAACCTAGGTAGGTTTGTCTGGCTCACTAGGTGTATCTAGGTCTGCTCTACGGTTGTATTGAGCGCTTTTGTTAGTTGTTTATTCGTATCGGGTTTTTTTCTTTGGGCTTCAGACCTGCATCTGTGCGATTTTTTTTTTGTCGGCAGAAGTTCATGTTTGTAGCTCTTTCTTTTTTAAAACCTTTTTTCCCTCGAAATTGATTTGATTATTAGCAAATCAAAAATTTGAGGGTTTTTCGAAACGAGTCTAGTTATCTATATATATATATATATATATATATATATATATATATATATATATATATATAATTTAAAGAAAAACAGGCCACTTTTAAGGCGCCATTTGTTATAATTTATATCACGAGAGAATTTTA